ATTGCATAAATTAAGCAATAAATTTATATTATTAACTTTTTATATATTTAATTTCTAACCTTTTCTTTCTATTTCTCTTAATAATTAACCTTTATAGATTTTAATTAATTTGGTTCTCAACTCCATTTTTTTTGTCACCTATTTATTTATTTTTTTAAAACTAAATTGTAATTTTGTTTTATTAAATGCCATTTCATCATCTATGCCATCATTTAATGAAATTTGTAAGAAATAACAGAGGCTGATAGATTACAGCATGTTAAAATTAAGATTAGTGACTAAATTTATAAGTTTAAAAGGATAATAGCTAAATTAAAAATCATAGTAAAAGTGAGTAACCATTGCCATAGTTTACCCAAGAAGAAAATACAAAGAAAAATGAAGTTAAAAAAAAAAACAAAACAAGGGGAGATTGGATGGGAATCCAAGGTTGAGAAAGAAACACACGGAAAGGTAAAAGAAGCGAATGGGTCAGTGAAAGCTACGAGCCATCCCCTTGTCCCCACTGTTCTAAGGGTAGTTTTCATGGCTCCTTTTTTGATGTCGTCTTCCACTAACTCTGAACAAAACTCAACTCTTTCTTTTAATGTTATAATATGTAGTGATTGTATAATAAATGATTATTTTATAATAAAAAAATTAAAATATTTTAATATTAAAAATATATAATATATTTTACATATTTAATAATTATAATTAAATATCTTAATATTTTTAATACTATAATGTCTAGAATTTTCCTTTTCCCTGTAATAATAGGCTAATTTTTGCACTTTCGTTATTGTCCTCATCTTAGTGATAAGATTGCACCAACCTCTCTTGTAATTGGTTTCAACTTGCCTACTCAATTCGAATATTGTAATACCCTTACCTAATTGCACCTTTTGGACCACTTTGCATACATTCATTTCACTGCTATATCGCCAAGCATCTTCTAGGAAATATCCAGTTAAATCACTTCTTTAAAGTTTGCTCTTTTCCTTTGCTGTCTCACCTTTTCTTATTATCAGACACAATTTGGCTGGCAATTGGATGCGTAGATCTGCGGTTGCTTCCAATTTGCTTGACCTAACTATTTCGATTATCAGTGTTCACTTCATTGATTTCTTCCATTGAACTTGCAGGTATACATCAAGATATTCAATCTCGCCTCTAAACACTTATGTTATCTTTAAAGTATGTATTAAATGAAAATTATCTTTTTTTTTTTCTTTTGATAAATAACCCTTCTTTCAATACTTTTTGTTAAATTTTCCATTTTCAAATTGTATCTTAGCAAATTGTTAGACTCTTTTATCTTTAAATTTGAGTTTACATAATTAATCTATAACTACTTAACAAATCTTGTAAGTTATTCTTTTATTAATCATATATGAATCTTGTTTACCTTCAGGAAATATTTGTCAACCTCGCTGCTTACAAAGAAACAGACTGGCAGTTAAACAGATCAACCGGTGCTCGTAATTTGCTTGGTTTAATTTGGTTATCATCCCTAATCTCTTCAATTTCGTTTGTTAAATTTACAGGTATACTATCTAGATCTTCAATCTTGATTTGCCCAAGTTTTGTTGAAGTATATAAGATGAAAAAAATAGATACAAATCATTAACATATCAACTTTTGTAGTCCATGTTTTCATATTATGTCTTGCTTTGAACATAATTGAATTATAACTAATCAACTGATATTTTGAACTCTTCTTCCCGCCCCTCCCCCTTTTTTTTCTTTGGTTTAATCTGGATAAAATCAAATTGAACAAATTTTATTTGAGTCCATTATTGGCATGGGCGTTGATAAGCTTTCTTTGAACAATCAACATACTATAGTGTCAAATTCACCGACTCAACTAAGGTTTCGATAAGTACGGTTACAATTTTTTATTTTTTATTTTAATTTTTATAAATTTTGTAACATTAAACAAAAATTAAAAATGATTATTTTTATGTATTTTTAGAACATATTTTCGAAATTATTAAATAAATAAGAACATAAATAGTTTAATACTATTATATAAGTTTATATTTTTTTTTACCAATGTTAAAACTAGTCTCAAACAAATTGTTAGTTTTTTATTTTAAAATTTTTTAATATGTGCCCTTAGTAGGGAAAAAATTAAGGGTGATTTATTGCACTTTTTTTTATCAAAATTTATATGGAAAAAGTAAAAGTTGACTTAAATTTTATCAAATATTTAATTAAATTATTTTATGTGATATTGGTATTAAAATAAAGTTTATTTTCATAATTTTTCATTCAAATTAATGATAAAAAATGTAATAAATGGACTTTTAACCTTCCTGAAAAACACAAGTTAAAAAACCATTTTATTTTTAGTTTAGATTTCTGAAGTTGCGAAAATTTTCTATTCAAGTGCTAATTTAGTTTCCATAAATTTTATAACTACTAAAAATTAAAATTAAAATTAAAAATTATTTAAAACAAATTTGAACGTTAATAACAAAAATTAGAAATTTATTTAATATTGTCAAAACTGTTTTTTTTTTATTTATAATAATTATGATGAAATGTTGTAAAAACACATAAAAATGAATGAAGTTTTTATTTAGAGTTACAAAATTTATGAAAAAAATCAAAAGCATAAAACCACAACTACATTAAATGGATTCTAAAATTTTAGTTATTTGAATTACGTTAGTTAATTCGGCTACCCAAATTTAACAAAGCTAACAAAATTTAAGCCAAATTAACCAAATTATAATGAAAGTTTTAAGGCTTAAGAATTGAATAAGGTCTTGAAATTTCACTAAATTTGTAATTAAGGTCTCGCAGTTCTATTAAGCACACATAAGGTCATTAAGTCATCTAAATTCTCAAATAAGATCCTAATAAGACAAAAACCATTAGATCTGTTAGATTAATCATAAATGTCATTAACTCTAATTGATTTAATTAATATCCAAAATGGTTCATAACCTTTTTATTTTATCTTTCAATAACCTCAAAATACTCCTAGAACCATTCTATTTTTATTTTTATTTTTTTGGTTGATATGGCAATTTTATGGGACCTACAATTTAATATTAAATTTAATTAATTTAAATAATTTACTAATTAACTATTAAATGATTTCATTAAACATTAGTTCACTATCAACCAATAATCATTAACAGTAAAAATTTAGATTTCAATTTATCAATTAAATAACTTAATCTTTTATATTATTCACTATAAAAATGATGATGAGTTTGTGATATCTCAATAATACCCCCTATCCTCTGTTCTTTTTTTTTTTTATTCAACTAAATGATATAATTTTTTTGTTACTATTCCAAAAAATAATAATGCAATTTTTTTATAACAAGCCACATAAAAGTCACATAATATTAAAATAAAAAATTAATTTTTAGTTATGGGTCCTAAGAAATGGCCACATCAACAAGACAAATAAGTTTAAAGGGCATTTTGAGGTAACTGAAAGCTTTAGGGTCATTAAAAGATAAAATAGAAAGGCTAGGGACCCTTTCATTTCGGATATTTAACCAATTAGAATTAACAACTTTAATGGCCAATTTAATAGATCTAACAATTTCAGTCCAATTTGGACCTTCTTTCAGAACATTATTTGAGCACAATAGAATTTTGGGACCTCAGTTGCAAATTTAGTGAAAGTTTTGGACCTCATTCAATCCTTTAGCCAAATTTTAAATGGGCAGTTTTGGTTAATTATGATACCGACCCAAATTAAATTGAAAATTTTCAATTAATTAGCCTAATTCTGAATAATAATGGTGTTTGATAACATGTACCAAAAAAAAAAAAAAAGCATTTGACAACACAACAAGGATAATTAACTTGTTTTTTTTTTTTACATTTTTATTTCATATAAAAATTAATTTTAACGACATAACTATTACATGTTAGGAAATTCATCGATGGAAACAGTTGTTGAAATTTCAAAGATAGTTTGGAATTATGTAGACCACCACAGAAAACTTGAAGAAGATCTGGATGAGTTGAGAAGCGAATGTCAGGTTCTAAAGAGGAGAAAAATTGACGTTAAATCAAGAATACAAGCAGAGGTTCACTCGAGGCTAGTAGTGACACAAGAAGTGAGGGGCTGGCTTAAAGATGTTCGAAAGATCGAAAAAGACATAAAAGATGTTGAAGAAAGGGCGCGCAGAGTTTCATACTTCCAACGTGCCAGTCTTGATAGACTTGTGCGTAAAAAAGTTGAAGTGGTGAAGAGAATTCAAGAGAGGGGCATTTTCAATGAAGGCCTTGTGATTGAGAGAGCTCCAGCTCGTCCAGTCATAATTCCAACAGAGAATTTAGTGGGGGAAATTTCTACTAAAGAAGAAATTTGGGGGTACTTGATGGGTGATGAGGTTGGAATGATTGGAGTTTGTGGGATTGGTGGAGTTGGAAAGACTACAATCATGAAGAATCTCCACAATGATTTACACTGGGAGACTAGATTTCAGGTAGTGATTTGGGTTACTGTATCACATCCTCTCAATGTTTTTGAATTACAAAAGAAGATTGCTGGTGCTATGGGTAGAAGACTTCCAGATGATGAAGAAGTGATGATGAGAGCGGCAGCACTAATGGATATAATGGGAAATGTGAGATTTGTGCTAATATTAGATGATGTATGGGAAAAGTTCTCTCTTAAAGAAGTTGGAATTCCGGAGCCGAAGGCGCAGAATGGGTGCAAAGTAGTTGTCACTAGTAGATCAATTGAAGTATGCAGTTATTTGCGTTGTAAAATTGTTAAAGTGAAACCTCTTTCAGAAGAGGAGTCTCTAAAGTTATTCCTCGATACAGTTGGGGAAGGTGTTTTACAAGTTCTAGGGTTGGAAGAAATCTTAAAGCTTATTGTGGAAGAGTGTGCTGGCTTACCACTGGCCATTGTTCTGATAGCTGGGAGCATGAGGGGCGTTGATGATGTTAATGCATGGAGAAATGCACTGACTGAACTACGAGATCGTGTAAGGAGTGTGAAAGATTCAAATGATGAGATATTCAAGCGATTAAGATTTAGTTTTGATCGGTTGGATAGTTTGGAAGTCAAGAATTGTTTTCTTTATTGTTCCTTCTTTCAAGAGGATTATGTGTTTTCTAGAAAGGAGTTGATAGAATGTTGGATTGATGAAGGACTAATTGATGGGTCGCCAAGTAGAGAAACAACTTATAATAGGGGCCATGCTATTATAGATAGGCTTGAAAAGAATTTCTTATTAGAGAAAGATACTTTTTGGTCATCTAGAGTTGGTAGTGATGGTGCTAAGATGCATGATGTAGTGAGAGACATGGCTATAATGAGCATTGGTCCTGAATTTGGATATATGATAAAAGCTGGTATGAATTTGGTAGAGCTACCAGATGAGCATGGTTGGGTAAAAGATCCTAAGAAGTTGTCTCTAATGGCAAATAACATTTTAAAAGTTCCTCTTAGTCTATCCCCAAACTGTTTAACCCTTTCAACTCTGATATTATCAAGTAATCCAAATTTGTCAGAGATTCCAGAATCCTTTTTTGAAGAGATGCTTGCTTTGAAGGTTCTTGATCTCTCTAACACTGCTATTGAGACTCTACCTAATTCCCTCTCTAAATTGACAAATCTATCTACCCTGCGGTTACAGCTTTGTAAGAAGTTAAAGTACTTGCCTTGCTTGGCAAACGTCAGGGGATTGAAAAAGTTGGACCTGCACGGGGCAGGGATTGAGGTGTTTCCTAAAGGCATGTGGATGTTGAGAAGACTTGAATATCTTGATTTGTCATTTTGTCCAAATTTGAAAGAGATTCCAACAGGAATATTATCTAACCTTTCCAGTCTCCAATACTTCGCAGTATGTTGTTTGCGAGAAACTACAATTGTCAAAAATTTTGAAGACGTTGCTAGATTGAAGAAGTTGGAGACTTTAGAATGTCAATTTGATGACATACAAGACTTCAATTATTTTGTCAACAAGCTCAAAGATTTCCAAAGTGCTACTACTTACAGTCTTTTACTTGGGAATGAAAAAGACATGACTGGATGGAGTAAATATGAGCTTGTAATCCGTGATTGCGAGATAGGGGAAGAATGTATAGTGCTTCCAAATAACCTAGAGTATTTGTGGATAATCGAGGGTAAAAACATGAGAGGTAGCTTAAATAAAACAGTTCTGTTAGAAAAAGCAAATGAGTTGAAGAGTTGTCATATTAGGGATAATAAAGAGATAGAGTGCCTGGTTGAGTTGGACTCATCCTCTTTCTCATTGTGTTGTCCAATACTTGATAAGCTTGAACTGTTGGAGCTTTCTACATTGCCTAGGTTGTGTGTACTTGTGAAAGTAGAAGGAGCAGCAACACCACCACAGGTATTTTCAAATCTTAGAGAGCTTGATATATGGGAATGTTCAGGAATGAGGAAGTTGCTTCCACTTGAGTTGCTACAGGCCCTCCAAAACTTAGAGGGGCTTACAGTTAGGGATTGCCACCAAATGGAGGAGATAATAGCATCATCAGATTCAGATGCATCATCATCGGATAAATTCACTCTCATTTTTCCTAAGTTAAAGGAATTGTGCTTGTGGAACTTACCCCAATTGAAGAGCATTTGCAGTGCCAAAGGAGTTATGGTTTGTAATTCCATTGAAAAAATTACAATGAGTGGATGTCTAGAGTTAAAGAGGATCCCTGTACAGCTTCCCCAGCTTGATAACGGCCAACCACCTCTTCCTTCTCATCTCAGAGAAATCAAGATAGGTGAAGAGTCAAAAGAATGGTGGGAATCAGTGGAGTGGGATCATCCTAATGCTAAGAACCTCCTTCAACCTTTCTTGAAATATTCTAGCTATCCATGGGATTAAGGGTAAGGTGTTGATTGATTTACTATTATTTAATTTAATTTGAATTTGATTTGATAATATATTATAGTAAGTGGCTAAAAATTTGGAAAATAATTTTTGTAGTGTGAAGCGAAGAGCTGCAAACTGCGAGTGCAAAGGAGGCTGTTGAGTAGACAAATTGTAGCCTTCCAAAAATTAAAGTAACGTGCCTCCTCAATAACATGTGCCAATAAAAGCTTTTCGTTAGTTCCTTCATTCCTCCGCCAATGAAAACAATTGGGTATTCTAGAAGAGAAAGAGATTGATGTGTCTGAGATGGAAAACCTCAGTGGGTATATTTTGGAAGACAAAGATGTCGAGCCTTTGCTCCCTCACAAACTCTAACCAGTAAGTGTTTAGATTTCACTAGGTATTAGCCATAATTCTTCATTAGATCTCATTCTTCCTTTTGGTTTGACAATTATAGATCTAATTCTTGTTCATCTACAATGGGAGGCCTAATTCTCTATATCAACACTGGTGGTGGTAGCCTAATTCCTGCCAACTACAGAGGTTAGTTATTTTTTATGTTATTTGTGTGCTATACAAAAGGAAATAGTTCCCAATCATCTTGATTATCTAAATTGGGTTTCGTTTGTCTAGGAGTTTTAAAGGGTGCATTTGTTTCATCTGATTTCATGGCATTTGAAATGTCTCTTCTGTGTCTTAATTTTGATCCATTGAAGTGTTGGTCATCTTAAGGACCAAATGATTGATTTGATGTTTATAGAAGATTCAGCGCAGAGAGCCCAATTCGAGTCAATGGTTTGTGTGATGCAATCTGTGATTCCTAAGGAGAAGAAATCCTTCCGTAGAATTCCTCCCATGAAGATCTTTAAAGCTGAGGTACCATGACTCTTTTGCCTATTCTGCTTTCTTATATTACATGAATTTTTCACTTTATACTAATAAATCCACATTTAAACATGTGTTAAATTGTTTGAATCGTATGTCTATTTAAAAACACTTGAATACTTGAAATTAATGAAAAAATCTTATAAAATTGAAATATGCATGTCAGACACTTGATCATTGTTTTTTGAGCTTGGGAAATGTGTTTCTGGTATCAGGAGTACAATGCATCAATTGAGTACTACTGGGCGTCCTTCATACTGGAGCCTAATTCATGCCATGCAACATATCATACTGTCCTGAGATGATTGCTGAACCTTGCAGCCACAGCCAAACATGGTAGGAGCTAGGAAGAAGTTGATGTGTTGGTGTTTGAGTGGTGGATGCAAAACGTAACAAGCCTCAGATCAATGCTATGTAAGTTTCTAGTTTTCGATCCAAGGCTATCTATTCCATCTAAATTCTTCTGGTTTTTATGAACCTTGCTGCCATAGCCAAACACGGCAGGAGTTAGGAAAGAGCTATGTATTAGTGTTTGGAGCTATGTCTGGTGGATGTACAAGCATAATAAGCTTCAGATCAATGTTATGTAAGTTTCTAGTTTTTGATTGAAGGCTTTCTATTTCATCGGCCATCCAAATTCTTCTGGGTTTTATGCTGCAAGAGCAAGTTTTTTATTTGAAGATACATTTTGGAATCCATCATGTTAATCCAACTTTCTTCTTTACTTTCATTTTCCATTTTTTTTTCCCTTATCAGTTATGGAACACCTGGGATTGTTCAAGAATATAATGTGACAACTACTTGCAAATTGAGAAACCTGGGCAAATTGGTAAGAATCCAACATCAGTGCTCTTTGTCCCCAACACACGTGGTATGTTTCACTTGCTATTTTCTATTAAGAAACATCCCAAATCGCCAATTTATGAAGATGATGATAATATAGGGGGCTATCAAGCTGTTATAAACCATTTTGATGAATTAGAAGTTAATGCTTCCTATGTTAATCTTCTTTTCTTTTCAAATTTATAAGATTTTTTTTTAATAATATGATTTTGATTGCTGATCAATGATCATGAATTTGTATAACCCTTAAAGGTTTTCACCTTTTCCTCCAGAACCAGTTGCTCTAAACTATGGTCATGATGCAAATCATGAAATCCCTCTTGCTACTATTACTAGACCCAGTTTTGAGGTTAGTGTATTTACCTATTTCCATCTCCATGCATGTCAGTTTGCAATTGTATTCTGAAATTCAGCAGTGATTATGGTTTTCTGATTTGCATTGTTCAAATTATCCGAGGAATTGAAGAGGAAAGAGAGGAAGATTGGTTATGGCAGTTGAACTTAACCAACGGTAGGAGGTATATATATCAAGGAGATTGAACTTGTGACACATGTAGACTTTTACAACTTGCACTCATCTGTTTCTTTGGGGACCTACAGCATGGGAAGTGAAGCAGAAAGAAAAGGCTTTAGCAAGAGGTAACTTGCATTTGATGTTGAATTTTGTTGCTTACTCATCACATCCCTATAGTGGCCTGTTTCTATTTCCTTTGATGGGCTATTAGCCTTTCATTCGTTCCATGACTTCTAATTTTTTGTTCCGCTGATTGGCCACCATTTGCCCTAATCATTCATAATGGTATTGCACATGATATACTGATTTATCTACAAAAGTTTATGTATATTGCCTTTTCATCATTCTTAGGTATGCTAGCTTTTCCATTTTTACCTTTAGATATGGTTATTTTGGCCTTGCATTGTGGTAGATTGTATTCATTGATTGAGTACATGCAATGGTATACAAGATGTTATGGTTGTAAGCTTCTGTACTGGCACATGCTATGAATGATATATTTTTTTCCCATATGTAGGATTGGTTCTATGCTTTTTCTAGAATGACATAGCTGCTACTGTAACATGCATCAAAGGGGAAGGTTGGAGGCCAAGTGGTAATGAGAACTGCGTCAATTAGTCTTATCCAATCCAAGAAGCATTATCTTGGGGAATTGGATCTAGTCTTGCCATAATGGAAATAGTTCACAACATCTTACAAGAACTAAAGATCAACCATCACAGTTTTGAAAGTCACACAATTGTTAAAAGATCAGAAAGATGCTCATATTTGTTTATGGTGAATAGAAGAGTAAACTCTTGACAGGGAAATTAAGAATGTAAAATCAAGGTATTTATAAAACAAAGAATGAGTCTTCATTTCCAAATCAGTTTGCTGCTAAGCCATTTCCAAATTAGTTTCCAAATCAACTATCGATCTTCTGAAGAGGAAAAAAATATTAGGCTTGCAGCCATCCAAATGTGCTGCTCTTTATAAATTTTTTGGCCTAGCTAACTTGGATATCTAGTGTTCAACTTTGTTCAATTTTCTCTTCTTAATCTAAAGGTATATTATTTTTAATCTTGATTCTTTCTAATTAGGTCTCTTTAGAGTACATACAGACATAATGAAAATGTCAAAAGTTATCTTGTGAATACATGATAGTAACAATGCTTTCATTCTTTGAAAAATTTAAATATCATTAAATATATATATGCTGAAAATTGTACAGTCCGTTTTATAAAATTAATTAAATGTTTTTAAAAAAATAATATAAATTAATTAAATGTTTTTGAAAAAATAATATAAAAACAAATTCAAAGGTATTTAAGTAATTTTACAAGAAGAATTGCATATAGTCTATCTTGTAAAACAATTTTCTCATATATATATATATATGTAAAAAAACTATTTAAAACATTAAAATTTTAATTTTTTTAAAAATATTTAAAAATATTAATTTATTAATTAATTTTAATTTTTTAATTAATAAATATCAACTCTTTAATTAATTGTTTAATAATTATATTAATTAAATTAAATTAAATTAAATTAATATTTTAAAATAATATTTTGTAATTTTAATAACCCTAAAATTCTTACAAGCAGCCGTGACCGCGCCCGTTCTCTTGGATGCCATCTCTTTCGTTTTACTGCGGCATGCTTTGCAATTTGCAAGAAGTTATCTATCCCCTGCACTACACACTGCTTTTTCATTTTTCTTTTAGTCATTATCCTGCTTTTACAAAAGGTTGAATGAAGTCAAGAGGCTGCATTTCCATTGTGAAAATGAAATGGGGGCCATGACAAGTCATGTCTAATTGTCAAATACCGTGTAAGAGGAAATTAGGAAGAGAAATTACCCGGAAAGGAGAAGGGAATCCGAGACTGAGGCAAAGAAAAATCTCGGAACAAAGAAAATATAAAGCTAGTGACACGCGTAAAGAGTAGACGGACTCAAATGGGTTGTCGCTTAATTAAATTATTAATTTATAAATTAAGTTTATTAATAAAAATCAAAATATATATCTAGTACTACGTGAGCTAATGGTCATAACCTACGTGGAACAACATATAAGTTTTGAGTTCTACACCTAGGCATTATTTCTCCTTTCCCCCACAATTTTCCTTGGTTCAAAAAAAAAATCAAAATATATAATTACTTTTAATGATATATTAAATTATTATTAATAGATTATACTTAATCACTTGAACTTTTTTTTTAATTATCAATTACTGTTAATAATAAAATTAAATGTTATTAATAAAATAATAAATGACTGACTACAAAATATGATTATGACAATTAATTTATTTATTAATCTCATTAATATTATATTTAATTTAATCAATATTTATAATTCTTTAAATA